TGGAGACGGAGTTTCGCTCTTGTTACCCAGGCTGGAGTGCAATGGCGGGATCTCTGCTCACCGCAACCTCCGCCTCCTGGGTTCAGGCAATTCTCCTGCCTCAGCCTCCTGGGTAGCTGGGATTATAGGCACATGCCACCATGCCCAGCTAATTTTTTGTAGTTTTAGTAGAGACGGGGTTTCACCATGTTGACCAGGATGGTCTCGATCTCTTGACCTCGTGATCCACCCACCTCGGCCTCCCAAAGTGCTGGGATTATAGGCGTGAGCCACCACGCCCGGCCTAGGAGTTGGTTTTATAGGTTTGGGGTGGGAGGTGGAAAGTTACAGAGTAAGATCAGTTACAGTGGTGGGTAGGGGCAAGGAGTATACATTACCATAAGCTCAGTTACAATGGCGGGTGGGATAAGAGTATTATCATAATAACAGTTAAGATGGCAGGGTGGGGTGAGGGGCTTGTCTGGGGAAGCTCCGCTGGGTGATTAGGGACAATGGTGAATTCGAGGGGTTGGAGGGTGGGAGACGATCAGGCAAGGCAAGCAGGACTTCAGACTTTCAGGCTCCAGGCTTGCACATGGGGACCTGACACAATGTGCATCACAGTTATTTATAATCAGAAAAAGTGAAATTACACTTTAGGAGGCCCAGGGGGCAATTGCTAAAGCCCAGGAGTTTGAGACCAGCCTCGGCAACGTGGTGAAACCCTGTCTCTACAAAAGATAAGTTAGGCATGGTGGTGCACACTTGTAATCCCAGCTACTCGGGAAGCTGAGGTGGGAAGATCACATGAGCTGGGGATGTTGAGGTTGCAGTGAGCCAAGATCCCACCACTGCACTCCAGCTTGGTGACAGAATGAGACCCTGTCTGAAAAAAAAAAGGAAAAGTGAAATTTGAATAAATTTCCAAATATGGAGGACTGGTCAGATAACTGTAGAACATTTTCTTAATGGAATATTATGTATCTGTTAAAAATGATGTTTACAAGGCCAGGCACAGTGGCTCAGGCCTGTAACCCCAGCACTTCAGGAGGCCAAGGCAGGAGGGTCACTTGAGGCCAGGCATTCAAGACCAGTCTGGGCAACAAAATGAGACTTTGTCTCTAAAAAAAATTGAAAAATAAGTGGGATGTGGTGGTGGCACCTATAGTCC